ACGTCACTAATGAACAAGCTCTCATCTCTCGATAGGAAATGGCCGAGCCATCGTAGCAGGTCATGCATCATGGAAGACTCATCGTAGTCCAGACCGTAAGACTCCGATTGTAGAAGGCTCCTATGAAGCAGCTCTCTTGGATATTGCTCCCCTGTTTCCACCAAAGTGACATCTCATGCTTCGACAAACCTCTCGGCTATCCATAATCTGACGATGTCCGACATGTGGAACGCATAGTTTTCGCGCAATAAGACACAGTAGAGAAAGCATTACTTGAGATGGGCCGGAAGGTTGGTAGCTCAGATACAGTGCTCCGTGCCCACCGTCGGGAAGCCCGGTCCGTGACCATGCGGCGCTGCGGAGAACTTCCTCCCACGCATTTCTGTTGAGTCCTCTTTCGCGGAGGACCCCTCCGATGGTCTTGATGACCAGGGGAAGCCCTCCGCATTTCTCAACAATCTTCATGCCTATGTCCTTGAGATCTTGGGCATCCCTTTCCTCCTCTGCATTCATCGTCGCTTTCTTGCACAGGAGGGACCAGCCATCCTCCGGAGGCAGCAGCTTCATCTCGTGGACGTGGGCCGTCGCGATCCCTTCGTTTCTGGTGGTCACCAGCACCCTGCTGCCTGCTGCTCCTCCCTGCAAAGGATTGCGGAGCAAGTCGTCCCAGATCCGAGCATCCCAAACATCATCCAACACCAGCAAGAACTTGTTCCCTCTCAGGAGACGCTCCACCGTGGGCTCCAGCTGACTCCTGCTCTGTTCTCTATTATATTTTCCACCAGCACCTTCAATGATATTTCCGAGAAGATCCGTCTCGCTGAACTCGTGGGACACGCACATCCAGATGGTGGTGCCGGAGTTGGCTTGGACTTTGTTATCACTGAACACCTTCTGAGCGTGGGTGGTCTTTCCGATGCCGCCGAACCCCACAATTGCCAGCACCACCACGTTCTTACTCGGATATTGCTTTGTCAGCTGCTCCACCATTTGACTATTAGTTGTAACTCTAAATTACATTCATACCCTTTCAAGAATTGGAATGATTAATAAAATTAAATATCTTTTAGTATTTATATATTTGTTTATTTTTTTTCTTAAATAATGTTAATTATAATTAATCATGATTAAAAGTTTATTGACTTTTCTAATTTTAGATGCAGCATTTTTCTATCCCTATAAAACAAAAAAAATCTTACAAATATGTCAATAAAATTAATCTCCCCTAAATTAACCATAAAATATAATATTGTTGGAATTTCAATTGACATCAATATCCATGTAAATTATATTACAAATGTATACCTTTTAAAATAATATTTATGATAATCAAATAAATGATAGTGATACAAGGTGCTTTAGATATTAATACATTCTATGTTAACACTAATTTATGAGAAAATTCTCCTAGATATAGATCAGCAAGCTACTTGGCTAGATATCATTGAGGAAGTTAAAGATACTGTATTCTAGAAAAGTGGCATATATATCAATAGAAGATAGATTCATAGGTAATATAACACATTTCAAAGTTTTATATGTTAATGCTTGTTGGTGTAATATGAAAGCATTAATCTATTAATGATTGATATGATAGCTTATTTGTTGTCATCATAATGATTAAACTTAGCATGTATTAAAGTGATTTGGCAAGTTGTGAATGAAAAATATTTTAAATTTTCATTTTGTCACACATCTGACTTAATGAAATGTTTTTCTTGATATCAATCAATTCCTTCTTTAATGTGGTATTTCAAATATCTTCTTATCAGTTATTGTTGAAATTGATTGACAATAAATACTTGGAACATTTGGGTTTGTCATTGTTGAAAAGCAAATCAAATGAAGGAAAAGAATATAACAAATATAGATGATGACACAAACAAATTCTGTCTCTATTATCTACAATTAAAAAAAATAATTTTTGGACTTTTTATGTTCCTCCAAATATCTATACCAATTCTCAGGTTCCAGGATCATTTCATGGTACCAGTGATTTAGCCATTACTTTTCTCATCTAATCTGAATTCTGAACCCATGAGGTGTTGCAATTTGCATTCATGGAACAACCACCTACAAATGTTCTGATATTTCACTTTTCCTGCATTCTTTTACTGTCGATAACTCACTTTACATCATGGAAGAAAAAAAGGGCTCTTTTCTTTTTCTTCTTTGAATGACCCAAATGTTCAGCAATCTGCAGAGATTGCAGTGATCATAGGCCTGAGCACTTCACTGTTTTCTGATATGGATTTTTTTCTTTCCCTCATCTCTGTTCTTGCAGCACAATATGTGATCCCATCTACAGCAACAAGCTACTTCACACTGTTTTCTTTTCTTTTGCTGATCTCTGTTCATGTAGCACAGTGTGTGATCCGCCTACAGCAGCTGGCAATGAAATGCCTGCAAAATGCCAAGCAAGCATTGTCATCATCACATGGTTGGTGCAAATGCCTTCTTTGTCACCAAGAAAAGCCCACACTTCACAAGCTATATCTATCTTTGTAGCAGACCAACACAGGCCTTTGTGTCTTGTCTTGATTCAGGAAACCTTGCTGTGAACTCAACCATGGCTTCTGACAAACATTTACAGATACTAGATAGGTGAACACTTGCTATGGATCCATGAAGAGGTCTATTCCTTTGAGCGACGCTTTTCAAAGGCTCATTGCTAAGTGACAGCTTGTCAAACATTCAAAGTTAAGCTTTAACCACCTGCTAAGAGCATTCGAAGGAGATTTATCAGTTTATGGTCAGGAATGGTTGCACAATTCATCATTAAATACAATTATGCGATATCGATGCAAGCATGACATTGATACCGCCAGATGCATTACAATCGGATTAAACTGAGATTTAATTAGACCTGGTATGAATTACCTAAAACCACAAGACTCTTAGTTGGTCGTAATATAGATTCTAAAAGGCTCTTTTCAAATTTTTAATTACCTTTCGCATAAAGCATGCATAAAAATGGAAGAAAAATCACATTGCACTTTTATCTTGCTGTTCTTATTAACTGATTCTGATGTCATTTCTGAAATTGCAACAAAATATCAAGAGGCATGCTATATTCAGGAAATGATCTTAAGATGCCAAGAAAATTTGAAGCCAGATCTGCTTATGCATAGTTTAAATTGTTTTAGATTATGTCATTATGATACAGCTTGTTACCTGCATTTATGATTTTGTAGACCTGAGAACAAAAATAAGAAGAATCAAGATCTTGACTTAATACAATCATTGTGGTGTCCATTTAGCAGGAAGGTTTAATTAAATGATTATTACTAAGAAGAGGGAATTAATAAGTAGAAACTAGACATAATACAAGTTATTATTATGCCAACTTAAGGTACACTCTCATATATGCAAATGTGCAGAACTTGGATGCAAACAGTTCATGTATTTGGAGGAACCTACAGCTCATGTCAATAAGTTAGCAAAGATCTGTGGCAACTGTTTCATGAACAGTTCAAGGTTTTAATGTATCAAGCAAATGCCAACAAGAAGTTCATTGTAACAAGGTTTAGATA